CAAAAAGGGGATTTTTTCGGTATAGGGACTAAAAAGAGGCTTTTTCCTATAGTAGAGGGACCAAAAAGGGTATTTAACCAAAGTTAAAAAGATGAATAATTGAAATTTTATGTAAGTGTAATGTGTAAGATTTATGTGTGAGAGTAGATCCCTCTCATAACTTTCATGGTTCCATTTGCTTTAAGGAGTGCCATTACCATCTCCTTCATTATGTATGAACTATATATATATACATACAGATTTAAAATTCCTCTTTTTTTCTTTTTTCTTTTTTTTGTATTTACGTTAGGTGTCCTAATTTAGCTTGAGACTAACCCTCTTCGAGGAATCTTAAGAGCAGCCTAATATATTTAAGAAAAATTTTCAAAACTTGAACCTAGATCTAACCTACAAGAGAACACTTGCTTACCTCCTTGGAGTTAAAATTTCTCCTGATGTTAACTTTTTCCATTCCATGCAATAGAAAACGCAAGTGAAGGACCCAAATGCTATCATTTCAAAAAACTTTTAACAATTGAGACAAATGCAACCAAATGGCTAAATGTACACTCCTATTCTGCCCCCAGCAATTCCAGTGCTAAGATAAGATTTTTTAACTCAATGTGATATTGAGGATCATATCATGGGGTTTAAGATAACTTACTGTAAGGAGCTAAGGGATCTTGGACTGTGAAAGAGTGAAATCTTCGAAGAAGCTCGTCTCGTGGCCGACTTAGTGAGTCGTTATACCCTTTTCAATTGGTACCTCAGTCAGCGCAGCAGCCATGTTTGCAGACAGTCTCTCCCAAATTTGGGAGGTTGAAGATTTTCTTCCAGCCGCCACTGCCAAAATTTTGGGCTGGAGATTTGGGAGGAAAGGGTTTACTTTCTAGTCGCACCATTTTAGTGCTTCTTTAGTTGGGCCTTTTGTGAAGCCCATAAAAAACAAAATACAAGACCCGATTGAAGCCTGAAGTAAAATAAATAAATAAATAAATAAAATAAAGGAATGATTCCGTTGCCGGGATTCGAATCTGGGATTTCGGATGAGGTTATTATTATATTTTAAATAATTAATGTTATCTTTTTTAATATAATTATTGATTACATTTTTATATTACATTTTTTTTGTTAATTTTAAATTTTTATTTTTTAATAAATTAAACAAATATAATAATTAATTAAAATAAAAAAATATAATATTAATAATTAAAAATATGACAATAATATTACCGAAATTAAAAAGAGGGACAGATGCAATGCTATCCTTTGTTCTCATTGGCTGGCTCGCACTTTCGTCATTATGGACGAAATTCAAAGCACCGAGGCTGGCCCTCAGTTTGTTCACACTAACATGTTTTGTGTTTTTGTGCAAACTTTCCCCACTATCAAGTCGCCAGTGAGAGAGTCAACATTACAGAAAGGTCTACTATGTGTCTACTGTGTGGCCTTGATCCAACAAGCACCTTAGAAATATCCTGGATTTATTTCTCTATGGATTAACTTCTTCGGCTGCTGTTTTTCCTACATCTGATTGGAAGCATCAGGTTTGTCTCCTGCCTTTCTTGGTTTAATGTTATGGTAATTCTCTCTAAGTTGTCTTTTCAAGTTTTCTTCTCTTGTTCCTT